CTTTACACCCTGCAATTCCCTGCATAGCCTCGTTTGCCGGGCAATTGACGTGCTCATGAATGCCTTGCCGAGACAAAGCTGGTGTGATGCACATTCCATCGATGAGATCGTGTCCCAAACCTTGATCTTCAATGCTGAGCTCCGATCAAGATATGTTCAAGGGGGTTTTCACGCTTATGTGGCTGCAGCAGACATGATCGATTGTTTTCGTCATCTACCAGTCGATCAAATCCTGTCTACTTGGGATGATCTTGCAGCTTATTGGCGTTCGAAGGGTGTCAGCTGTGTCAGTGTCTCTCGTCATTCCAACAACGGGGGTGCAAAGTTGGGAAGATATGACATGCCAGGTTTCTTCGTGATCTCACTTGAGGATGTGAGGGCCTGTTTGAAGCACTTCTCTGAAACAAATTATGTGGCACTCCCGGGATGGCTTGGCCGCGAACTGAGAGGTGCCCCGATGGGCGATGCACTTAGTGGGGCTGTGCTGCGCTTATTCAAGTGGGGTAGGCTGAGGGCGTGTTCATTTTCGGAGCAACAGGACACCGCGAATTTGCATGGGACATGCATCAAATTAGTCCGCCTCGGTGCCAGCAACGTCATGGTGCTTGACATATCGTTCCGTGATGACATTCGTCTCTTCTGTGCTTGGAGTACTCGCTCAATGCTTAGAAGAGAAACGGTAGCCAACTGGTGCAGCACTCGATTCCAGCAAAGGTTCTGCGTAGGATCTATGCGGCTTGAAGACTCTGACAAGGAAACCTTTGTTGGGCTCCGTACTCGATGGAACTCGCAGGGGTTACAGGTATTCCCATCTTTCCCTTGCCCATGGGCTGCAATCCACTACCGAATCACTGAGCTACCCTGCATCAAACAATGGGTCGCTTGGACACCTCGGGCTCAGAAGTCTGCTGTTGTCAGGGGCATGCTGTGTCGAGCATGGTATTTTTCAAATGACGGTGATGGCCGCAGACAAGCCATCTATGAGTCCTTCCTCACGCTCATTGGGAGGGCCATGTTTCCAAAATCATTTGTCGCTAGCATTGCCCTGAAGTGGGCCAAAGGTTGGCTTCCGAGAAATTCGATTCACCCGCCGAGCTCTAATTTGCATGACGTTGAGTATGCTCTGAGTCGTGTTTGAAAAGGCTGCGCACATGCAGTTTCCAGGA